CAACATGGAGAACAGATGAGGGCATATATATATACATCGCTGCTCGATCTTACCAGACGGCGTCGCCGGAGTTACGCCTGCAGACGTGGTCGGTGAGCTCGCGGAGCAGCTGCTTGTTCATCCGGCACTCGGCGTCCTTGTCTCTCCCGTACATCTCGTCCGCCTCCGCCATCTCGTCGTACAGCTCCTCCTTCATCCTTCGGATCCGCTTCAGGACGCGCTCTTTCTCGTCCCCACCAGTGTGAGTTTGCTGCTGCTGCCTGCCGGCATGAGCATGAGCAATGTCGTTAGTTGTTTTTCCTTTGGACGACCACACATTGGGAAGCTCCCACAACGCATCAAGAAGAGGGAAAAAATGTGAATCAAGAAGAGGAAAACTGAATCAGTTTACGAGGGAAATCGGATCCGAAAACCACACATGGTCTGGCTAATTAGGGAGAAAACCGAGCGAAAATCATGAAGTCCACTACCTAGCTAGATTAGACTAGGACCGGAGCGCCGCCACACGGAAGGCGAACAAGCTCCACGACCTTAGCAGCCAGAGCCAGCATAGCAAGGGCGTCGATCAGGTAGCCGTACCCGTACGTGCATGCCAATGGGCAAAAGCAATCGATCGATCGGGGTGTGAAGGTGCGTACCTCGGTGTGGATGAACCTTGGCACGAGCTGCCGCTGCCCCATCTCGATGGCCGGCGAGAGCCGCGATACTACCGTCTCCTGCGTCTGCCGGAGCGCATGGCCGCCAAGCTTCCTCGCCGCGAATCCTAGCGCCGCCGCGGCCATCGATCGCCGGTTTCTCTTTAATTACTGTAGCACGAGCAGTGCGTTGTATCGTTGTGGGGTCGTGGGTTAGGTTAACTCAGGGGCTGGCGAGGCTGCATGCATATATACGCGGCGCGTCGTGCCATACGGTCGGTCGCAACTCACGTACCAGACGCCTCCCCTTCCATGTAAGGAACTTTCTCTTTTTTTTTAGGAAAAAGGAACTTTCATTAGCCAAGTAGTAAGAGCATCTACAGCCAGACTTGATAAATCCGACCCCTTAAACACCTGAGGACGCATTCAGGCGTGTCCGTTGGAACTGAACGGTCACGCCTCATATGTTTGCTTCCACATCCGCACCTCTCATATCCGAAACCCCAAACCCATGTAGCCCATGCAACGCTACGCATAAACACGATCAACACGTCGGGTCATCATTGCATCGCTAGACAAAAGGACCGTAGTTCATCGGAGTTCACCGGCGGACAGTGCAAATGCATACCGTAAATCTTACAACATAGATAAAACATAAATAAAACGGCGTAGGGCGGAGGAAATCACCAATTCACCATTTCTCTCCGGCCCCTTCCCCTTCCAGTCGTCAGCGCGGCTGTGTCCCTTTTCCATGTAGGCGTCAGCGTGTGGAGGTGCGTCATCGTCGGAGCTGGAGGTGGAGTCGTCCGTCAGGTCAGAGTCCGAGCTGCACCTTTGGCTCGACAACCTATGGAGCAGGCGGTCCGCCTTCGCCTTCGCCTTCACCGTTGTCTCCTTGTTTGCCTCGCGCTCTGAAAACTCGATGGTGAGTCGGAGCACCTTGTCATTCTTGCAGTAGAGGCGCCGCGCATCCATCTCTGCCGCCGTGAGAGAGTGACGGAGGACCGACGCGAGGAGCGTGGCCCCGGATCGACCGGCACGCGGTCAGCGCCTCCCCCACCGTTTTCCTTTCCTCACTTGCTGCTGCTCGCGTCGGGCTACTCATGCCTCGGACTCGGGCATCCTCGTGCACGCCAACATGGGCACGAGGACCCATCGGTGGCCGGTACCACTTTTAGAGAAGAGGGTGGTGGTGGGCAGTGTACGTGAATGAGCGGAGCATAGCAGTCGGAGCTACACGACAGGTGGGACGGGCCAGTGATGTCGACGGGTGACGGGCGCTGTTGGATCCGCCTTGATCGAGCCGTGACCGCCTCAACGTGATGCGGAGGGCGACCTCCTCCACATCGTCGGGCCCCGCTTCGCGCAACAGGCTCGCCTAGTCATCGGATTCCACACCGGAGCCAGTGCTGCTTCCATCGCCGGCCATCAAATTCAGACAAAGGGGATCAAAAGTGGAGTGGATGGAGAAGGGAGTGATGTGAAGTTCGGGTTGACTGCTGTCTAGGGTTTTCTGGATGAGGATATTTATGGGGCGCGGGTGGGCCAGGCTAGGTCAAACCAAAGTGGCATACATGCCCGGGCCGCCCTATATCCACCCTACTTTGGGATGGATATGAGAGGCGCCAGACAGCTCGGACGTTTGAAGCCGGTTTAGTGCACCCGTCTAGGTTGGATTTTTACGATCGGTCAGTGACCGAGGCGTTCACCCGAACGTTTGGGGATGATTTGGGGTGCCCCACTGTAGATGCTCTAAATATTAGTTGTATGCCCGTGCATTATCAAAGAATGTTGACAAGGAATACAAAAAAATACAGACATGTACATGTAGAAAAAAGACATGCGACAATTATTCTAATTCAGAAATATGTTTCGAGCATGTACTTCATTTCTATTTATACTAGTAGAACCCCCGTGCGTTGCTACGGGCTATAATGTTTATAAATGAATAAAACAAATGATTAAGACCGTCTATAAGGTTTAACACTAATTTTATTTAACGGGAGCATACATATTCTAATGGTTTAACAAAACTCTTATTGAACATATCTGTATGATTTCATACACTTGGACAACTTTTTAACTTCTTCGTAAGTCACACTGGAAAATCTTCTAAAATAATGTCAAACACTATCCAAAAAAGGCTTAGGACATTGGGATGTGATTGACCATTGCCTCTTCTTACAGTTGCTCCATTTTTCTTGATTGTTAAATAGGTAATACCTTGACATCTAATAGGTGAATTTCTACACATACAAAATTTATTCAATATCTGGTGGTGGAAGGTCTATTTGCAAGTTTACCAAGTGAGATGAATAAGTCAAACCTTGTGGATTGGGATCTTAGTATTTTTCAAGATGAACTGTGCTGGGGAGCAGATAATATCAACCGGCACATCATGAATTAGCAGCTTTTCAATAGAAATGTCATCTACTAATTGCTTTTCATGTACTATGCATTACACAAAAACTGAAAGTTAACACTCATGCATTGGTGTTTATTCAAGGAATATTAAACACATTCAGTTGTGCATCAAGGCTGAACGCTCGCTGTGTCCACGTCACCCAATCTTGACTGTATGTAAACCGAGCATCGATTGGGTAGCGTTGTTTCAGTTGGTCCACCAGATACGTCCTCGTCTAGATACGCCCGCGTGTGATGGTGATGCAGAGGAAATATCGCGGTAGCTTCTCTCTTCCTCGCGCTCACGCAACCTCCCCCTTCTCCTCGACCATCTGCCTCCTCCGCACGGCTTTCGCTTCTCCATCCGCCATCAAGCAGACCTCTCCCGGCTCCCCGCCGCCCCCCGTGCCGATGTGCTAATGATTGCGCTGCATCCGCCCGACGACGCCGTCTACGTTTTTTTAGAACGGAGGCTCAAGAAGAGCCCGGCTTTGAATTAACAAAGCCATCAACCGGCCAGGATTACATGACTGCCATTTACAACAAGAAAACAAAGAGCGGAAAGGAAGATACATTGTGCTCGGTAGAACAACTCAAAGGCATAGAACAATGTCATCGAACGCCGCTATGCCGAAACCAGCTAACCTACTAAGGCTATGGGAGGAAGGCACCACCGTGCATGTTTTGTGTCACTGACTGTCACCAGAGGGAAAACAGGGGCAACACATGACCGGACTCCGCCTCCGCAAAGGGCCCCTACCCTTTCACCCGGGCTCGACAGATGCCGCACCGGCGGCCTGCAGAGTGGTTCACCCTAGAACCCAGATCAGAATTCCCATGTAGCCAAAGGAGGCACCAAGAACACACCCACACGAAACGGGGAGTCGAACACCCAATCACCGTTGCCGGCTGCAGCAAGGCAGAGCACTAGACGCGAGTTGTCGAAACGAAGGCGCTGAGAAACCCCGGAGAAGGCCGAGAGTATGCAGCACCACGCATCGGTCAAGGATAGGAGCCTCATAGCCCATGGCACGAGAGAGGGACTCCCCTCGCACCAGCGGTTGAAGCCCTCCACACATGGACCCGAGCAAGTTACCGAAGATGAAGATCAGACCAATACAATCCGCCGTCGAACCACCACCAGCTCCACCACCACTTGAGCACTTCCCTGACGACGCCTTCAGGAAGGATCACGCCACCAAGGTGCCGTTGTCGCCATGAATCGAGGAACTGAGGCTTTCACCTGAGCTGCTGGGTGGGGTGGGAGGTGCAGGAAGCCCACCGAAGCCTTCAGCAAGGAAAACGACGCCCAAAGGCGACATCTTCAGTGTGGCCGTCGCGCCGGCCAGGGGTTTCCCCCGAAACCGCACCCAACCACCAGATCCGCACACCCGCCATCCAGAAAACAGCGACCGGAACCATCAGGAACAGGGACGGCGCGGATCGGAGCAGATCGAGGTTGTGGACGCCGATTCTCCAAGGTTCAGCCGGCCTACGGGAAGCTGCTGCAGCCGCCGACACCCGCCGCCTCCACGCCGCCCGCGCAGCCGGGGAGGCGGCCCACCTGCACCCTGCGGCGCCGCTGGCCGCCGCCCCGGATGCCGAGGCTCTCCACGAAGGGTGGATCCGCCGAGGTCCCCGCCGCCACCTTCATGGGTGCCGAGCGGCCGCGCCGCTGGCCACCTCTGGCGGCGGCG